TCCTTAACTGAGGCTCCTTGCTCTCTGATGACTCCAGTTTGTGTCAAGTTGACACAAGATTAGCCTGCATGGATACATACATCTTATCAAACTGCTCTCTTAAAAAAAAAAAAAAGACCTAGCTCTATCTTTAGGCAAGCTTATTTTAGTCAAATCTGCAATCTCAGTAGTCTATCCATGACTCAACCGGCTTTTCCTGATGTAATTCATAAATTTGTTGTTTTATTTGAAACAGGGTGACAAGTAACTTGGTAGGGAGAGTAGCCTGACCTTGACCTTACAGTGATCCTCCTGCCTCTGCCTCCTGAATATTGGGATTACAGACATACACTATCATGTTCAGCTGAGTTCCTGTATTCCTCTCTTTCTAGTCTGTTAACTACACTTCAAACACTAGTATTGCTCCCTTGTAATACATGTATCATCCGCTTTATTTGCCATATAATCTTACTAAAACATCAAGACTGACTGTAAATGTAAACCATGGGCCCTGGGTGATGATGGACAGTAACAAGTAGACCACTCTGGTTGGGGCAGCTGTGTTTGTGTGGGAAGTACTTGGGAAATCTCTATATTTCCTCTCAATACTGCTATAAACTTAAACCTGCTCTAAAAGTAACATCTTTAGAAATCAAAAATAACTAAGAACAAAGATATACTGTTTACTGTTATATACCACAGTTCTGATGTCCTCATTCCATAGTCACGTGAATTAAGAGCATGGTTTTTCCTCTGCTTTCCAGGCCTTTTGTTAGACTGAGTTTTGCTGCTCTCTCAATCAGACTTTGTTTTGGGCTGCACAGCAGATGCGTAATCAAAGAGGGGTCTGCAGCGTGCAGCTCACTCATTCTCGAAATTCCAATGATTCCAAGTGTCTGTTCTTTGATTATGAAATCCATTTCCATAATCAACATTATGAATGTGTGTGTGTGTGCTATCTTATTATCTCCAATTCTCTTTACTCAGACCTTACTGAACAACTCTTTTCTTTCACAAATATCAGTGTCCCTTGTGCTCCACCATTTCTCCATTCCCAAGCTGGATAAGTCATCTGTTCAGCTTAGTAGTTTTCCTGTTTCTGATACCTCTTTAAACGCATTGCCTTAAGATTAGCTCTCATTCATACTCTCTAGCTCACAAAATAAACCGACACCAAAGTACAGCTTGCCTTTATTTCAAATAACTCAATTCATTTTATGCACCCAGCTCTCTGTCCCTTCTCTTCTGGATACACTAATAAGGCAAGGTAAGAGTCTGAGTTCGTGACTGACGGTAGCGACAGATGGCAGGTCTTAGTGGCTGGCAACAGTACAAGATGACCATCTGTCCCTGATATGACTACACAGAGTATTAGATGTACCAGAACACTGAACACAGAACACTCTTTCAACAGCACACAGTGCCAGGGTTGTGGGAATTAATACTGAACAAGGCTGCAGGGAATTAGAGGGGAAGCCAGAAGTACTTTCCTTAAGCTTGTCTAGTTTAAAGACGAGACAAGGCACTTTCAAAATTATACACAAATATGCCTGGTAGATTCCTGGGCTTCTGGCTTTTTAATGGTTCCAAAGCACAGCACACCTGGTATTTTTATAAACGCTGAATAAACTGAGAAGCAAAGAGAAGAATAATTTCCTCTCTACCCAACAACTGCCATTGGAATTCCAGCAGGCAGATAGGCCAATGATCAGGATTTCTCTAAACGGGCTTCCTTCAGATTTTCTCTCAATGGGCTTCCTACCCTCTTCTTTCTTGCCCACTAACTAATTGTATAACCAAAAGTCATCCTTAGGGGCTGGAGAGATGGCTCAGAGGTTAAGAGCATTGCCTGCTCTTCCAAAGGTCCTGAGTTCAATTCCCAGCAACCACATGGTGGCTCACAACCATCTGTAATGAGGTCTGGTGCCCTCTTCTGGCCTGCAGGCATACACACAGACAGAATATTGTATACATAATAAATAAATATTTAAAAGAAGTCATCCTTAAACTGTCCCCATAACCTCCAGTGTCCCATGAAGTTAATTACTGCTGAGAATTGTAATGAAAAGCCATCACTTGTATTCTGTATTTCTCCCCTTTAGAAACCGTTTGAGAATTCGATACATACAATGTGGTTTTTTTTTTTTTTTTGATTTTTTTGAGACAGGGTTTCTCTGTAGCTTTGGAACCTGTCCTGGCACTTGCTCTTGTAGATCAGGCTGGCCTCGAACTCACAGAGATCCGCCTGACTCTGCCTCCCGAGTGCTGGGATTAAAGGCGTGTGCCACCACCACCCAGCTCATACAATGTGTTTTGAGCAAACCCACCCTCCATTCTCAATCCTCCTACTCCTTCCTTATCCCACCACCACCTTTTCCTCCCAACTTCGTCTGTTCTTTTTTTTTTAACCCACTGAATGCTCTTAGTGTTGCGACTATGTGCATGGGTATAGGACCATTTTCTGCTGGGTAGCCTCTCAGGGGCCTTTATTCTCTTTGCAACAAACTTAGCTTATATCTTTATTATTTCTAGCATGAATCATTCCATCTGTACTCTTAAATGGTCTCCCCATCTTTGATCTAACTGTGGTGCATTTTGCACAGAACGCTAGGTAAAAGAGAAAATTTCTAGGAGGGTCTTTCACAGTCTAGGTACTACCTATATCACTCATCTTATCTTCTACTTTTCATACTGTTTTCTTATAATATGCTTACCTAAACTTTTACCACAGTACTCATAAGGGCAGGTCAAAATTATGCATACTTCTTTGAATGAATGAACCAACCTATCTCCTCACCCACCTCCCTTCTTTCCTCCTTTTTTCTCTCTCTCTTCCCTTCCCTTCACCCTTAAATGGCCCCCGGGGCCCAACGCATGCCAGACAAGTGATCTATCATGAAGTTATGCCTCCCAACACTTTCTTTTACTTTTTACATAGGAGAGGTTCTCACTAAGTTGCCCATGCCATGTTGGCCTTAAAATTGCTTTGTAGCCAAGGCAAGTTTACAATCCTCCTGCCTCAGCCTCCTGAATCGTTGGGATTATAGGCCTGCATCACAAGGCCTGGCTTTTATTTCTTTCTAAAAGAGAGAAACATAATGTGCATAGACTACTCTTATCATCATGGAGATAGACATACTATTTACTAACTCTGATCATGGGCAAATGTCTCTGGGCTTTCACTTTTCTCATCTGTAAGTCAGGGAGAACAAAATAAACTTTATGCGTGCATCCTGTCTATTAGCCATGTGATAAGAACAAAATAAAACATATATAGAGACTTCCTTTGGAAAACATTGCCTGTTACCTACTTCTTTATGATCACTGGGATAATTCTGCCTTCCATGTTACAGTGATCCTTCCATTCCTGGGTGCTGAGTTCTCACTGAGTCCCACCTTCCTTTTCCAGGCCATAAGGACTGTCCTCATCCTTCTGCTCCCTTCTTTCCTAGTGTCAGGTACACCTTACACTCCACTTGTGACCACAGCGACTTGTATAATGTCCAATCAAATAACAATCATAGCATCTCACCTTCTAAACTAAAAAGTTCCATGACTGTGAGCACTGGGTTTTGTTCCCTAGGTAACTGGGACCCAGTACATGGCCAGTAGGCAGGAAACGTTCATCTCATAAATATTTACTGAAGAAATACATCATGTCTTACGCAGCTTCACCTAAAAAAATCGCCTCAACTTCTAAGAGAGTTGTGACCGTCTTTACTACTCTATAAATTACATGTAAGTTTTTCTCCGTTGGCCCAACTTAGCAGAGGTCATAGAGATATTTCTTGTTTTCTGAAAAATCTGTTCCTAACCCTTAAATGTCTCATTAACAAGGGACATGATTAAATACAATATTTATAATTCATGGACTAGAAACTACAAGTATAAAAATATAATTCAGAAATACTTAAATAAAAGCTGAAAACATCTGAAGCAAAAGTGAGCCACTCTTGCAAACTGAAGGTGGCAAAGGTAAGAGATAAGTGCAGGAGCGACAGCTCAGGAGTGGAGCACTTGGTGGCCAAGCATGATGCTGTACTTTCAAACCCCAGTACTGCCAGAAGCCTACACATGTGCTTTAAAGTAAGAACTACTATAATACCTTACAAGCAGAGGAATAAAACTTAGCACATATTTTTTTAATATTAAGAAATCACAAGGTGGAGACTGGAGAGCTGGATCAGCAGTTACGAGCATTTACAGCTTTTGCAGAGGACCCGGATTTGGTTCCCATTATCTACACAGTGGCTCACAACTGTCTATAAGTACACTTCCAGGGAATTCAATGCCACCTTTTGGCCTCTGGATACCAGGCATGCATATAGTATACATACATGTAGGTAAAACACTCAAACACAGAAAATAAATTAAATTCTAAAAAAAAATCACAACATACGTGTAATGATTCTTATCTGAAATCTCAATACTTGGAGGTTTGCGGGCAACTTGGGCTATATAACAAATACTAGGCTAGTCCAACTAACAGAAAGTAGTTTCAAAGAAATATCAGTGGCCAAAAATGTCTTATGTCTTTGCCCCTAACTCTAATCTTATACTTTTAATTAAAAGGAGATTATTAGTTAAATTCTGAAAACCATGAAAAGGACAGGGAGTGCTGCACAACATTACGATGTAGCTTACTTTCATGTTCTAGAGATCTCAAGTCAGAATGCTTACTCCTTGCAACAAATAATCATTTCACATCGCAAGTAGACAACCTGAGTTAAGGGGAACCTGTACTGGCTGGCTGTCTTATTAGTGGTCAATATATTCTCTTTACAGGTATTGCTACTGCCATCAAATATTGTGACAGTTTCTGCTAATCTTGCACTAATGGTTTTTGGTTAAGTGTGTAATTTGAAAAATTATGAGGTGTTTTACTTTAATGTTTATGTTATACACTGTAGGTATACTAGCCAGAAAAATATATCTATGTTTTCAGCAATTTAAAGCAAAAAAGAACAATATGAATAATTTAAAAAAAATAAAAAAAATAAAGCAAAAAAGAGTATACTTACCACAACTTGCAACACCTGTTCATTGTGAAGAGAGGAGGAAGAGGAAGAGGAAGAGGAGGAAGAGGAAGAAGAGGAAGAGGAGGAAGAGTCAGCCATCATCTGTGCCAAAGTCTGCATCAGTGTTTTTCCAAGGAGAAAAAATGAGCTGAACATGGCAATTACACCAAACACCATTCCAAAATTGAACCTGGCAACAAGGACAAAAGCAAACGTAAGTGTACAATTCTTCACAATGCATATATTAACAAAACAACCAACTGGCCATGTTTCATTACTTTTAAACAATGGGTGAAATTACCAAAAGCTGGCCTTGTTTACGCTATCTAAACTATCTGACTGACTCATAGGCAGTTCGAACAAACTAAAATACTCCGACACCCAAAAAGCTGAATATTATTGCTAGTTTTAAAAGGGGGCTAAAGGGTTTCCTTTCTATTTGCTCATTTATATAGCACTGTTTGATTATGTTTAACATAGTTAGGAATGCTCTTAAGATTGGGGCACGCATTCATTTTTTACCCATTCTACCATCGTCATCTTATTTTAGCTTCACTTTGTGATAAACTAGTTTAAATACCAATGGAGTATCAAATCTAATGTTTTTATTATTCTGTTATTTTAATAATTAAAACTATTTTTTTACACTTGGAACTTGTAGAATTGTTTATAATATTATTGTTTTTATTGTTCATAGAATTTGAAGTATTATCTATTTTTAATTATGATTTTTATTTACTTTTTTTAATAAATCATGGTCTAGGCTTAAGCAGTTTTATTAGTCTTTTCAAAAACTGAATTTTAGGTTTGCCCATTTTTATTACTATATACTTTTTTATTATCTAATTGTTTACATTAGTTTGAACACATCTGGAACTTATATTTGTTATTTGTGATATATATAAGAGAGAGAGAGAGAGAGAGAAAGAGAGAGAGAGAGAGAGAGAGAGAGAGAGAGAGAGAGAGAGAGAGAGGGTCTCAGTAACTAACCGGCTGGCCTGGAACTTGCTATGTTGTCCAGATTTCCCTCACATTCTCAATTCTCCTGCCTCGGTATTCTGAGTGCTAGGATTCCTATTTGAAGCTTTATTTTTTAACAAAAGGTAATTTAGAGGACACTATTCAAGAACCCCATATTCTCCGAAATAAGAACCTGCTATGAGGAGCTGGTGGCATGGCTAGAGGTTAAGAGCACTGGCTGCTCTTGCAGAAGACCCAGGTTCAGTTCCTAGTTTCTAGGACCACATGATGGCTCACAACTGCCTGCCACTCCAGTTCCAGGGGATCTCATAGCTGCCTGGTTCCTGGGAGTACTGCAAGTAGGTGGTACACATTCAGCAAACATACAAAATAAAAGTAAATAAATCTTAAAAAAGAAATTGTTAGGACATTAGGTATTCCAAAGACCATGTAAAATATAAAACCATAAATTTCCCTAAGTGCCTTACTTACTTACTTATGTATATATTTATTTTATTTTACTTTATATGTATCCTCTGGAAGAACAGCAAATGTTCTTAATGGTTAAACCACCTCTCCAGTCTCTCTTATTTATTTTTGTTTGTTTGCTTGTTTGTTTGTTTGAGACAATGTTCTTATGTAGCTCAGACTGGCCTCAAACTTGAAATCTAACTTAGGATGGCCTCAAACTTGTGATCCTTTGTGATCAAACTTGTGATAACAGGTATGCACCACTATGGTCAGGTACCATGATTTTTAGTGTATGAAAAAGCACAATGATACAATTGTTTATATATATATATATATATATATATATATATATATGCTAT